CTCGTGGCCTAGAGGTTAAAGTGGTCGCCTCTCATTCAATAGGTCCCGGGTTCGAATCCGGATACCCACGGAAATGTTCTTCTCTAAAATGTTCTCCTTTCACATCCTTTCCTGCTCTCTAACGATGTTCTGTACTTTGCTCTTGTTCCCACTTTCTGCCCCCACCCCCTCACCTCCTTTGCCCCCTCCTCTGGGCTCCTGACTCTTAATGCAGCCTTTCTACTGCTACTCCTTGGCTCCTTCTTACTACTGTCACACACCTGATGTTATGGAGGGAAAGATCTACATCTAGCTTTCTCGGACAAGGGCGAAAAATCTAGGAGGTTCCGAGAGCAAGTTGCGCACGTCAAAGATCCGTTGGTAGTAAAAAAAAATCGATAAGAGTATGCTTCGGTCGCCACCCGGCAAAATTCAAAATTTCCAACCAACTGAAAATGTTTGGTGTGTCCCGCGCGCTCATATGACCTTGTGTAGTTGCGAGCGCCGTAAAACACTTACCCAAAAACAAAATTTTTAAGAAAAAAAGAAGAACATGTGGTCGCTAGAGCCGGTTCCACTGCGTTCCAATCCTCTTTTCAGCGTAACTCGGAAACAATTTTCAAGTTTTCCTGAGCAGGAGAAATTTTCATTACAAGTTTTCTCATTTCCAACCCCCCCTCCAAAAAAAATAATTTTTTAAAAAATATATAAAGAAAATGGAAACTAAAAGAAATCAACGGTAAGAGAAATTGTTCATGACGACTACCTATTGTGGAGGAGAAAAATGGTTGTCTTAGACAGTTTAACATTTTGGGAAGAGTCGTATTTTAGAAAAATCGCAAAAAGGGGGGGGGGGGTTTGACTGTTTATGTATTTTTTTAAAGCATGAGCATGTTTGAAGCATGTCAAAATAAAACTGACATTCCCTCAATGTCTGACGACAACCAACCAATGCGTCTTGCAGAAAAGAATATTTGTCTTTTTTTCTTCAAATAAAAATAGCAACAATAGTAATATTTGCACTTTGTCTTATAAAGTGGACGTTATTATTGAATTTATCCGCTCGACACTGCATGCCCTCTATGCGCTTTACAACTACCTTTGTCCTTGCAGACTCCGGAACACTCAATCAATAGACATTCTCGGCTCCCCGGGGAGTTTACTGCTGATACAAAAGCAAGTTATTTTAGAAATTACCTTTAAAAATCGCCGGCG